GTTTGTCACTGTCACTTTGTAATTATGTAAGTAATATGGAAAAAACCGCTCTGCGTGCATGAAAAGTTAAACATGGCTTTGATGCTGCTCCCAAGACATCTGCACATCAAAACTCTGCACCAGCGCAGACGAATCAAAAGGCTGCGCATAATGAAAATGAACAGCCCACATGTTTAGATTCATAAACGGCACTGGGACGTTGTTTAAAACGGGCAGTCTTCGACAGTAAAACACAGAAATGACCAAATTCTGTTGCCATCTTCAGTGTTTCCTGTGAAATTCATGCACAGGGAAATGCACTGAAAGCTCTGTGGCCTACTGTGCTCAGCTGATCGAGGTTCATTTTAACTTCCTGGACTGAAAAAGGTGGGAGAATTCCCATAATGACGGAATACGTCCTTTAAAAATGTGAGGGCACACATTATGTGGCCAAAAGTGTGTGGACACCCGACCGTCACACCCGACGGTCACACCTATATGAGCTTGTTGGACTTTCCATTGCCTCCCTTCACTGGAACCAAACAACCCCAGCCCATCGTCCCTCCTCCACCAAACTGTACTATTGGCACTATGCATTCCGGTAGGTAACGTTCTCCTGGCATTCACCAAACCCAGATTCATCATCAGGCTGCCAGATAGTGAAGCTGATTCATCACTCCAGAGAACACGGTTCCACTGCTCCAGAGTCCAGTGGTGGCGCTTTACACCACTCCAGTCAACGCCTGGCATTGCGCATAGTGATCTTAGGCTTATGCGCAGCTGCTCAGCCATGGAAGCCCATTTCATGAAGCTCCTGACACACAGTTCTTGTACATATTGCTTCTAGAAACAGTTTGGAACTCTGTAGTGAGTGATGCAACACATGCGATGTTTACAGACTTCAGCGCTCTGCAGGCCCGCTCTGTGAGTTTGGATGTTCTACCGCTTTGGTTGAGCTGTTGTTGCTCCATATCACAATAAAAGCACTTGCAGTTGTCTGGGGCAGATCTAGCAGGACAGAAATTTCACAGACTGGCTTGCGGCAGAGGTGGCGTCCTAGGTGACTGAGCTCATCAGTACGACCCATTCTACTGCCAGTGTTTGCCAATGGAGACTGCAATGTTATTTACCATTAAGGTGCTGAACTGTATACACCTGTTAGCGAAGGGTGAGGCTGAAACACCTGAGCTCAGTATTTAGGAGGGATGTACCACATACTTTTGGCCATATAGTGAACCAGCGTACCTTTAGTGGTTTTTACACCAGATATGTCCTCAGATGGCCTTTTGGCCATGTTCATTCTGACAGGACTTGCAAAAAAAATACTGAAGTGTTTTTCAAGTTAATCTCTGTCTGCTGCATCTCTAGCATATGGACAATTAGCACAGACAATAATTTGATCATTGTCTTTTCCCATAAAACGGAAAACATGGTGATTTCACACACTTATAACAGAAGCCAATGGGCAGATGCTGAATTTCATCAAGTAAACATTTATGTGAAACAAATACAGTCATATGCAAATGTATGGGAACCCAAATGACTTGCTTATTGCTTACTACTGCTTATTTGCTGAATTTAACATATATATAAAAAAAGAAAACATAAAATACGGAATATGCCACATTTTATTTTTTCCAATATGTTGAACTCAGCAAATAAATAGAAACTGTGCACTATAATTAGCAGAAAAATGCCATATTTGAACTCTGTAGAGGAAATGTTGACGTCTTTTCACATAGAAAATCAACAAGAAGTGCAATTTGATCAGAGCTGTCCAAATGTTTGCACACAACTCTATCTGAATCCGAATTCTTCAGCTTGGTTTTTCTGTACAATCCATTCCTTCAGGGATGGGGCTGGTTTTCCAGGGGAGAGAACTTATGGTAATTTGTTACCAGCTTAACGGTGTCAGAATTTGCACAGGTTCCTGAATGAAACCTTACAGGAGGCTTTTTCAAAACAGCTGTGCAATTAAATTAAGAGGTAAACAAAAAAGTGTGTGAATTGTTCTAGAGAAACTTAGAGTCAGAACTGTTCACAGTGGTGGTGATAGGAACCAGACGCCCACCTCTAAAAGCTCCCTCACAGAAAATTACTACAGGAAATGGTTCTGAATTCACTGCCAGATCACTTTGACCTAAAACATGTTTTTTTAAAATCAATTCATGGCAGAGGGGTGCAGGCAGTGTGTAGTGAGATAAAATAGTCCCCAAGGAAAACTTTTTTCAGATTTATCACTATTTTACCATCATTCCATATAAATTCCATATAAAAATGCCAACATTCCATATAAAATTCAGAAGACTCGTGGAGGTTCACTGGTGGTTCCGGATAGTAAATAAAATGGCTATACTGTCTATCGCTTTGTCGAAAGAAAACCTCGTATCTCCAAAAAGGTAACTTTACAGGAGAAGGAAAAAACCTACACTAGGCTTAATGTAAGTCAATGGAACCAGACTTTTTTCCAAGTCATTTTGGGCCGTTTCTTTCGGTCCACTCTTCATGAAATTCACACACAATGTAAAGGTTAACCTGTATTTTCAAATTATGTCAAAAACTGAAAAACAACAAAAATGGAAATACAAGGTTTTCTTCCGACAGCAGCACTATGGTAACTGAATGTACGATACAGATGCACATATAGAGATTAGCTTGAAAAACACTGGGATGCAGGAGGAGCAGGAACTCCGGCTGCACTTGACTGTCAATAAAATAAAAAGCCTACACGTAACCTGTATCACTGGGCCTTTTCCTCACCGGCTGCTTGTCTTTTAATGACAGACCGATAGTCTCCTGCTAACAGCAGTCTTAGAAGTGAAACCTCTGAATACCGTATGTTGTAAAACAAGCTGTAGCCTTCAGCTACCCAAGAGTGCGACCCGGCGCCTTTGTGTGTTCTTTTCGTGTTTACCGCTAAATTTGTTATGAGCCTCTAAATAACCCATTTGTTCGATCGAAGCACAGTTTCATTTCAAAATGTCACCCACTCTGCGAAACACAAAGAATGTGTCTTGGCGGAAAAGTGAATCCATTCATGATCAGAAGCGTCGCTGCTGCTGAATGCTTTCTTTCCTTGTTCTACACGAGCTGAATGAAGTGGGTGAAGCCTATAAAAAGGGAATAAGGCTGTCTGGGGGAGAAAAGTGGCCTAAATCGCACTTCAAGTGTTCACGATCTCTACAGCAGGAGCTGCACCGCTGCCTTTGGGCATGAGGTTAAGGAGAGAGTCGGCGTCTTTTATTCTCAAATTCTTAAAAATATGAAGTGAAAAGGTATATGGGAGTGTAGAAATTTGTCTGGAGCAGCGCAGCCCGACTCGCTTACTGCTTGAATTTGAACTGGCTGAACCAAATTGTTCAACAGTTAGTTCTGACCTCACAGTGTGATCGGGTGGGACGCATTCTATGAGCGCCAACGTCTTTGATAAGGGCACTCGGACCGAATCTCTAAGTGTCACTCCGCCTTTCACCTGTACCGTAGTAACGACAGCCACCACCTGAGATCATATCTGTCAGTAAAACACTGTTACAGTAGAACTACGACCAGCCATCAGAATCTACAGACCCTATCAAACTGTTATCGTATCAGCCACAAAATGTTGATATGGGCTGGGCTCTAGAAAAGAGTGCACATATCAAAATACAGATATGAACTCGCCACATCATATCGTATACAAACGTTTGTGAAAAAATATTCATGCGCATATCTAGAAAAAACTCATTAAAGACTATCTAGATTATATTATACGTAAAGCAACAAACGCTTTTTAAAAATTGTCGAAAGTATACGCGAAGCGCGCCTCAGTGTCAAAGCATTTACTGACTAAAGGGATAAAGTGGTCATTTTTATTTAGGCTGTCCAGAAATGAGGCAGTTTACTGAAAATAATATACTTAATACAAAAAAATAGGTCTTTTATTTTGAAAAAATCTCAGTATCTCAGTAAAATGTACAATGGTCGATACTAATTGTCATGTAAAATTTTGTATACTTTATGAACAATAATAGAAACGTTCATGAACATGTCAGAGGTGTTTATGTAAGATGTTATGAACATGTTATGTGGCCACACCTCAAGTGTTACTGAAATATTCACTTCACATTCAATATTTAAATATTCAATATTTGTAAATGTGGTTTTATCAACTGCATACATTTTTGTAGTTTTACTAATATGAGTACATTTTGCTGCTGCTTTGTCTGTCTGTCCGTCTGTCTGTCCGTCTGTCTGTCTGTCTGTCTGTCCGTCTGTAACCTTAACTATTTCAGTGGCGTCATTATTAGCTCGACTGCTATCTTGTGGTGAAGCTGGTTTCATTGAATCAATGAATCAGTGCAAATAAATGAATAAACAAATACACAAATAAATAAAAGCATAAATAACTAGAACAGTTAGACTAAGTAAACCAATCAATTACTGAACCACTCTGGTTTTCTGTCCCATTAAATGGTCTCTAACTGGACAATCCGTTCGTACAGTCGTACAGTTCCAGATGACCAGTCCAGCTCTAAATCTCAACCACAAACGCTAAATAGCATCAAGTTTCAGATTTGTAAGAAAATAAGGTTTGGAGAGGAGAATCGAACCAGGAATCTGACTATGATTTCTTCGCTTTTATGTACCCGTATATCTAAACAATGAGCTGAAAGATGCAGCCTGATTCAGACGCTGTCAATAAAATCCTGACCAATACACTGGGGAGTGCATTTATTGACAACCTTTCAGGTCACTTCTTCATTTATTTCCGCAGCTCACGTAACAACACACGTCTGACCGCCACTGAAACTAATCAGAACGCAGTCCGTCTGATTCTAGTTGTGGATCATTGTATGTGAAACAAGACCGAATCCCTGCACAGGGAGGGGGCTGTTTGATGTTCTTCTCATCTGCTGGTACACTTCACTATTCACGCTTGTAAATGCTGAGAATTTAGCTACTTTCCTAAACCCAAAAAAGACAAAACCACAAATTATTTTGACTGTGATGCTCAATACTCAAAGGTAAAACTAAAAACTCACCTCACTGTTACTGGCACCACCGTGTTCTCATCAATGTTCTGTCTAGCGAGAGCGTTCAAAACGTGGATGCCACCGCAGCCCAATCTGGCAACCGGACGTCCGTCTTGGAGGAACACGTGGAGGAAACGATCACCGACATTCTGCTCCCGGCCTGAAAATACAGAAATGCTATGATCAGTTAAAAAGCACCTGATCTACACTGTAAAAAGCATCTTAAAAGTACCCAACACATCTAGTTTCTCATTATGAGACTGTTATTATAATATTATATCATTCAACTGAATTCTAGACATACTAAACTAGCAAAAAGTGAAATGATCTCATCGGATTGGAAGATAATTTGGCTTCCTTTGAGAAAAAGTGCAGTAACATCATTTCACCTAACACAATAAGTTTATAGGGAAAGGAAAATGCCTGAAACCAGGCTGAGTAATCTTCTATACAACGGGTAGTTCTGAAGGCACTGATTGGTTGAGAAGCGTTCTGGCCATACCGTTATTCGTAATAACAGCCCAGTTTTTTCACGACAACTACATCACTCCACTGAGCACCAGATGTTAAGTAACGACTGCTTTGCTACTAACCGGTACTACTTTACCGCACACAAACTCAGACAGGATTAACTCTTTACATCCTGATTGCCGAAACTTTTATGCAACTTAAGTTTAGTTGCTTGAAACCTATATGAAACTAAATTGCACTTGAGTTGCATAATGTAAAAAATCCCGCAACTTATTCAAAATTAGCCGCAACTGTTGCAAGCATCTGAACTTTGTGAAACAAGTTTCGTGAAACAGCCAATCAAAAGCCAATAATGCATCACATGCATTTTTTTCCCCAAGTGTTCTCCAAAATTTTGTCGTACTCAGTTCCACCCCAGTTCCTCCCTAATCACACGTTACCACCAATACTAGGAGGGTGAAAGCAAACACAGTCTTCCTCCGAGACCTGTGAACCGCATCTTTTCAGGCTGTTGCTAATGCAACGTCATTGGACAGCCGAACGCGCTCGGAGGAGAACACTAACCACCAGTTCTGTTACATCAGCTAACGGACGCCTGCGCTGGCTAGATTAGCACTGAGTGACGGGGAATGACAGGGGGTCATCCTGCCCACCCAGAGAGAGGACAACTGTGCTGTCTTGGACTCCTGGTCATGAATGGCTATAGCATCAGGGATCGAACTTGTGATAGGGCCAATGCTTAGACGGTTGCATCACTCAGTAGCCTCTGTGTTTGTGCTTTTAAAGACACCATTTATCATTAAAATAAATGCAAATTAACATAAAAAAATAAAAGCTGTCCAGAATTTCATTTTCAATAGTTTGATAAACAAATTTTGGTCCCAGATTTCTCCTTTCCCCAGCTTCAGCACAGATTTCTTAAATTCCATTACCAGCACATTAACATAATGACATATTAATTAGCCAAATTAAATTCTTTGCACTTTCAACTGTATGTACAAACCACACACACAGGAAAGAGAAGAAAAAGAAATGTAAATAAATAAACGTCGATGGCTGAATGCCTGTGGTCTGGCAGAGTGGGCCCAAACAAAGGTCACAGCATGTCCAAGGCCAAAAATCTCCCCATGTTCACTGCACCATGCCTGCGCGCACCCACGCAACCACGGCTAACAAAGTCAGAGCAGTCGTTCAGGCAGGGGCAGCGTGTGTAATTCTGCACTTTTCAGTTTATGCTAATGACTCTGAGGCCCTGACCACCTGTACACACATCCTTTCACAACAGTGTCGGTTCACAGCCCGTCTCCCTCTGAATCTTTAAAAGTGCACAAGGGTTTCGCACTGACGTCATGGAACAGACAAGGTCAGGACGGACCTCTGCTTTGGACTGGACACAGGCACTGACTTGTTCTCAGCAGCTCTTAACGTCATTCCTATGATTGGGTCTAATTATGCAGAAAGAGGGTTCAATGAGAGGCCACTGTGAACAGCCCTAGAACTTCAGCTCTTCTGTTTCTCAGTAGATGTTGCATGGTGAGTTAGTGGAATGGGCCACTTAGCTCAGATGGTCAGCCCAAATCTGATTTTTGTCATATCCAGATTGTATCTAAACTGATGCGAAATGATGCTCCTCCATCTATCCTGCAACCACACCACAACTCCCGGTACCTATCCCCAAAAAAGACTGCAGTCAGTTTTTCTACAACCATTTTACACCAAAGCAAATGATCTAAATGATTTGTTTGTTTCTCAATAATCAATTTATGCAGAAAAGTTTAAAAATTCCCCTTTAACTGAAAAGTATCACTGAGAAAATTCTGCACTACAGTCAGGACTGATCTAGAAGTATCTACTCTCCTTTGGTTTTGGTAGACGCCAGATCAATAAAGAATCCATACAGATGTTCACTAACAACTGCAAAGGGATCTACAGAGTCTACACAATGCTTACACCTGGATTATAGATACGCCTGGTCACCAAAAGCGGTCCGGGAGCTGCTCAGGCAATAAAAACAAAACAGGCCCCTACGCTACGGCCTGTTCAAATCCATCGCCGGTTCGGCGCCCACCTGTCACCTTCCCTTTGCGGCGGTACATTTTGAAAACAATTACATTTCCTCCAGGACAGCTGCTCCCCCGCAACTCCACTTTCATTTCTTCTCCATTTTTCCTTCTTTTCTCGCTTGCGGGACAAGGAAATGACGAATTACTCCTCATTGTCCCAATGGCCCCGTTACCCTGCGCCGGGCCTAACGGAGCGTTCGTCCTTTCTGTCAGGAGCCGTCACCTGTTCTCCCCGTCCACCTCCTCCACCACTCCTTACACATCCCTCCCCCACCCACAGGCTGACAAACGCAGCCCTGGGGGAGTCTGGAGCTCTGCTTAGACAGGGGTGACGTGAATGTGTTTAGAAGGAAGGTGGGGAAGCTTTATTGCTGAATTCTGTTTTTTGTTGCTCAGGTTCAATCTTTCTGCCCTTATGGGTTACACTTATGTTTGTGAACGAACCGCATCTGTCATTAGTGTGAACGAGTGCCGTTAAAAGGATCTCACAGGCCACAATGCCCTTATCAATATGACCAAATAACCTCTAATGTGCCCAAAGGTCATACGGTAAGATTCAACACTAACGCACACCAAGTAGAGGATATACAGTTAATTAAAACAAAACAAAGGAAAATTATTATGTTAGACATCATAAAACAATATTAGCTCAAAGCTGGTCGACAGCTCTGCAAATACGTTCCCTCTTTGCACCTCAATCTGTTAACAGTTGCCTCGGGAAGCCATTGGGCTCACTGAGATGACAGCACAGCAGTTGCAGTTAAATAATCCCCAACCTCTACTGCCCGTGTCTCTGTATCTATGAGTTATGAATATTACATTTGTGTACATTTTGATAAAGGGGCCAATAAAGACTTTGCGATGGACTCTTTTCACATTTGTTGGCTTCTGAAGCAGGTCACTGTTTTTGTGAAGATAAACACTAATGGCTCTCAATGATGCCTCAACAAGCCAGCATGCACATATTTGCTATTCGGTACTATTTAATTGTAACTATATTTTTCAAATATTTCCACATAATTCTGTCTACACTTGTTTTCTACTTATAAACACGTGTGATATTAACTGAACATGAATGATATATTAAGATATAACAGAGCTCAATCTACTGCTCAGGGAAAACAGTCACAATTCCAGGAAACTGATAATGGGGTTCCACAGGGCTTTGTCCTTGGGCAAATGATTTTTATATTATATATTAACGAGGTTGGAAAACACACTGAAAATGGTGGAATTCATTTTTTCATTTTCATGCAGTTGATACTTTTGTACTCTTGTGTCTCTTGCAACAACGGAAAATTTCGACTTGTGTTTTAACTCAAGTTTTTTAGTCAATTTAATTTTTTATCTCATTTCTGCCCTGATTTGTTTGTTTTATTGGTTATGTTTGTTTTAGGCATTTTACATTATTTTACTGTTTCAAACTTGTTTATTAACTGAGTGAGCTTCACTACAACTGTAAAAGCAGCCTCTCTCCTCCTCAGCAGCCACAGAAACCTACCAATTTAATCCATAATATCTAAAACTATTTCTTGACTTTTTATGACTGGAATATTTTTGAATAATAACATATGTTTTCAAATGTACTCAGTGTGCCACCAGCTAAGCATGCAGCTTTAAGGCAATTTGTTATTGCCCTCAGTGCCACAATTATTGCACAGGCCACACTTTTTTTCCCCAACATGTTAAAAACAGTAATTGTGCATTAAAACGTGCAGAAATTTAACGATTTAACCAGGGTGCCTAAACCTTTGCATAAAAATATATATATGCAGTGAAGTGTGTTATTAAAAAAGATTCAAGAGGTTTAATCTGACTGTTCTCATTATGGCCATGTGGTTATTAGATATGATCGTGGCTCAGAACACATCATAAAATCAGGTTTTTTTGTGTTCACACAGGCAAAAAAACCTGTATTTGTGCTACTTTAAGCCTGTAATGTGAACACACATTCTGGTGCACATCTCAGGCCTCCTGATTAACTCTGCCTGTCTGAACTCTCAAGCTCTTTTCTCCCCAGCCGTCTCTGTCATCAGCCTGATCAGAGGGAGAAGAAAAGGGAGTAGCTGGCCTGCAGCAGATGCTTATACAGACAGAAGGCACGCTGTCTTGTTTACATGTCATGTTGAGTCGTTTCTACCAGATGTGGTGAGCATTCTTCCACACACTTGATCATACGTCTTATGATCCTGATGATCTAATGACGGATTTCTGAGCGGAGCACATTTGGATGCACACCGTTAGGAGGTTCTTCCAGAAAGTTCTTCCAAACTTTCGAGCACCACACGGTCAGATATTGGCTTATTTCCATCTCATTCGATTAGTTCTGCACTTCAGAGCCTCTTTCTTCGCTCATTACACGATGAATAGTCTACCATCTTTAAACATGCTCAATGTTGCATTAACATTTATTATTAATTATGTTTACTTTCAAATGGTTTTTAAACTTACAAAGACAAGAGTTACTACTTTACTTTTCATGCTATACTATTCAAAAGTGAATATTTATGTCATATTACCACATAATTCTGTCTACACTTTTCAAATAACGGTCAAAATGTGGCAAAAATGTAAAAGATTATTTTCTTTCTGTTAAACAAAACTTTTCAGCAAATTCACAAAATAT